CTTAGTGTCTAGCAAGGAGCCAGTCTGCATTGAGGAAATGGCTAACCCAGGGTAAAACTGCCGAGGGGAGCAGACACATGATGATCAGTCTACCAGAGTAATTTCCACAAGTACATAGGTACTGCTCAATTTACAAGGAGTAACATTACATCAGAATGGAGTGACTGACACCAGTAAAATGCTGGACATTGGGTGTCTGTTGCTCTAACCCCAAAGTAAGCCAAATTAGTACACATGCATTTCTATACTCTCTGTCCCATAGGTCACTCAATGCCAACAGTTGATGGAGATTTGCATCTCAAACTACAGTTTTTGCAGCATAACATATAAGAGTTTCAGCCCCTTGATTACTGTGAAGTGACAAGTGATATATATATATATAGTATATGCAATATAGTACCAAATATGAGACACTGCTTGACCACTGAGTTTTTACATATACTAGCTAAGCAGGCACCCTGCTTTGGGAAAACAGTCTCACAATCACCTCCGCTCTTATAGCTCACATACCTGCAGCTCAAACCTCTCCAGCTCCTATCCTACCTTGCAGTCCTCTGTGCTGCAAAATGGAAACAGATTGACATCTGCACCTCCTCCTGACTTTGGAAATGCTACAGAAAATTTGCTGAGCTCTTTTTAGGGCTGTTGGGTAAAGGCAGCAGCTCCAGCTGAGAAGCAAGGGGACAGCTACAGGCAGTAGAAACCTGGGAAAAGTCTCAGATGTGCTTTTGGGTTGGGATGCTGGCTGAAAGAAGCTGGCATTTGTGAGGAAAATAGCTGTCTTCTCTTCCCTGATTCCTCCTGCTACGGTCAGGAAAACAGGACTTTATAGATTTCTTATAAATATGTAAGATTACATCAAAGAAATACCACCATTCTCTCTTCCTACCTGGAATGACTTGCAAGAACCGAAATCTGAGCTATTTGCTTGAGTCAGAAAGGAGAGCAGTATTTGCCCAGTCTTTGGCTTTCCAACACAAGACTACAGTTCTTATCTGGGGTTCTGGTTAAATATACCTTGGGTACGACAAACTAAGATCCTTGAATTTTTGCCCGGATTATATCAAGTAGTATCAAAGAATTATATTATTAATGGCTTTTATAAGCCAGTTAGATAAGCTATCAAGATGGAATTTAACTGAACCATTAAAAGATTTTATTTTATATTATGTTTCTATGGCAGGAGCGTTCAGGTCCTGGGACCTCATTGTTCTGAACAAATTGCTGGTGTGTACAGATCCTGTGCAAGGGAGGACCTGGTACACACATTACCATAACGTAAAAGTGGGTGCAGCTTACAATAGACCAGCTATTCCTCGGTGACTGGCCATATGCCTGGTCTTCCCACCCAGTAAATAAAAGTATACCCACAGAGGTTTAGGCCTCAATGAATTAAGGCTAGAGTTATCACCGATGAGCTTTCATACTCTAACAGCACACGCAAGAGGAGTTACCACAGAACAGCAGATATGCAGTAGAGCCTTGCCTCCTTTCACCTCATAGAAACTTGTTCTGTAGGCCAACGCTTGACTTCCTCTCCATTTAACTCCAAATTAAGTCCATATCTGAGAGCTTGTCAGAAAAATGCATTCTCCCTACCTACTCCTGTAACTGTGGTCTCTTGTCTTGGGGTTGGACCAGATGACCCTGGAGATCCCTTCCCACCCTGATAGTCCATGATTAATTGGTAGAATTGGGACCATATTTATGTTCTAGGTGCTTACGGCCCATGCAGTATAAAGGAGTTCTGGTTACAGACTAGAGCTTTGATGTGCTCCTGAAATACAAAGAAATGATTATCAAGATGGTCCCATTGCTACTGCATCTGAGTTGCTGAAAGTCATCTGACCCCAGTACTCGTTCCTGCCCAAGGCAGGGGATCAGACTCAATGATCTGTTCAGGTCCCTTCTGACCCTAGCATCTATGAATCTATGTTTTTGGTCTATGCTTTTGCCATTAATATTAGAAGTTCAATTGTTTTGCTTTATTATTCAGTATAAGACAGCTGGGTGTCATACAGACCTAAATTTTTAGTTACTCCAGCAGTGCCAAACTCTTGTAAAAGAGGGCATGTTGGAGGACCTGGCTAACTCTATGCTGGTTTGTCTCATATCACACCTGGGCAAAAGAATGGAAAGACTCATGGGACTCAATTAATGACAAGGTAAGAGTATAATTCAAGTCATTCAATGTGGTTCTGTGGAAACTAGGACTTGTCAAGTGCGCTGATTTTGTTCTTTGATATAATTACAAGTTTGGTTGATAAAGATAATTGTGTACCTTTAATAGACTATTGCATGTCATTTGAGTTAGTACCAGGTGACATTTCAAATACACAAGAGATGCTGTGCAGTATTAATAAAGCACCAGTTGGAAGACGAACTGGCTATCAGATGTCAAGATAAGAAGCATTCACCAATGGGTAGTGATCATTAAATAGGCATGTTTCTAGTGAGGTTCTTCAAGTATTAGGTGTCACACTATTCAGCCATTTAGAAAAAAATACACTACTGATAAATTTTGCAGATGATACAGAATTTGGCAGCATGTTAAATAATGATGAAGCCAGAACAGTGACACAGAGCAAGTTGCATAGCTTGGTAAACTGGACCCATTCAAACACAATGCTCGATGGTCTGTTGAGCTCCCTTCTGACCCTAGCATCTATGAAAAAATGTGTTTGAATATAACCAGATGCAAAAGTACAGATCTAGGAATACAGAAATGCAGGCCACTCGGACAAAGTGAGGATTATACCATAGAAACCATGACTGGTAATAATCTACGGGTCAGAGTGAGCGAGCACCCCCACCTGACCTTCTAGTACCATGCTGTGGCAAAAGAACTAAGTTGATCCTCTGGTGCAGTGGAGACCAACTTTTTTGGCAGGCATGCCACAAATTAGCCTCATACCCTCCCTGGGTGCCACTCCAATCCCCTTCCCTGAGCGTCTACTGTTTAGAAAGGAAATGGAAAAGTTGGAAAGGGTACATATAAAAGCCACAAGGATGACCTGAGGGCTGGAGGAATGCCTCATAGTGAGCGACCTTCAAGCTCCATCTATTTAGTCAATCAAAAAAAGATTGTGAGGTTACAGAACTGACGTTCCTCGATGAGGGAAAACATACTGTGCAGTAAAGGGATTTGGGGACCTGGGATCAGTGAGCTTGTTAAAGCAACTCAAAAAGAGTGTTTTTAGGACAATCCTTGATATGCTCCTTCCCGTCAGTCTTTGTAGATGCTGGAGCAGGTTGCAAAGCAGCTGGGACCAGCTGCTAATTTGGCATGAGTCTCTGTCTCAAACATGTTTAGCACATACTGAGCACTACTAGCTTGGCTCTGTTGGCTTAGAAATGGTATTTAAAGGCTTTTGGCGGGGGGGGCGGAATTTGCTTATAGGTATATGCATTAGAATGGTTGAGGTTGGGCGGTAGGGGTTAATTGATTTCTAAGTCTGGGTCACAGACATCTCCCTCGTCCTTCCCCACCCCATCCTGGGTCCCTCCCCATTTCTCTCCATCCTTCTCCCTGAGAACATATAGCATTGCTTGAGTGCTTGCATTGGTTCTTTTCTGTTATCACTGTGTATCGATAACTTTGCTTTTTATCGAATGGAAAGGTCACGGTCAGTCTCCCCTGGAACAAGTTATCTGGATCCTAAATCCAGAGCAAAGAGGCTCCGTGGCCTCATTGCTGAGGTTGGAGGTGTGCAGAACAGGAACAAGAGGGCAGGACATAAATTGCACCTCCACTCCTAGGTAGAGCAGAGGTGCAGACCAACCCTCTGTCTGCAGGTTATCTTCCCGGCTTACAGACCCTCACTGACTCTCTGGGTAGAGGTCTTAGTGAAACCAGACTGCTCATCTTCCCATGTCTCAGGTCCTGTAATAGCTTTAAGTTCCCTTTCATCTCTCTTTTCAGCTTTTCAACAAGCCATCTCCTCAAAGCTAGGAGCCTGACTATGATATTTGAGTATTTAGGGGATCTCTTTATCTGAGTCTGTGTTTTCCTCTTCCCCCTACTTCCTCGGAGAACTCTGTGGGATCGAACTCCACAGCAAACAACCCACTGCAGAGGCCTGTCTCCCATTCATAAAGAACACTGTTCATCACAAGACCCACCCCTGGCTCCTCAGATGAGAGATAATGCCAGACTGGCCCCTTACAAGCAATTTCCTTCTCTCCCTCCTGTAAGTCCCCAAGACAATCTGATGCCTTCTGCTGTTATCGGCATTTTTGACATTGACATATGTAAATGATTTAAATCTTTTTTTAATGTTCCCTATCCTGCTGGATAAGGGCTATGCGGTGTTACCTTTGCTTGAGGGTCACCTTTCTCAGTGTTTGCATCTGACTCTACACAGTGATTCTGTGCTAATAACAGGCGACACTGGGGAGCTGGACCATCTCCACAGGGACTGGTATTTGCGATTTGACTCATTTCATAATTGCCACCCAATAGGAGGCAGCAAATACCCTAATCACATTTTGGCATTAGATGATATCAGATTCTTTGTTTGCATTTCAGTTCTCTGCAATAGTGAAGGGCAGGCATAAGACTTCTTTTCCAGCCAAAGCCAACCAGGGTAACTGTGTGCCTGGGTACCTACCAGGGTGATTGTGTGCTCTGGGCAGAAGCAGGGCACAGGGCAGCAGTGGCCACATGTTACCAGTGGCGCAATCATCTGGCAGCAGCTGCTCATCTTACTGTCAAAGCACTCCAACTGATTATCACAGGCACAATCTGCTCCAGCAAGTAACACGTGCGCTGTTCTTCAGTGCAATGTATTGATGTTGGAAATTGTGTACTATGGGGTTAGTGCTTGGTCAGCTGTTGTGGTGTTTGCAGAGTGATCTTCTATCATCAGATTGAGCTGGAATTTCTCCTGTAATCTGATTTCTTTTTTGGATAGAAAAGGAGGGTCAACCTGAGATCATAAAAGCAAGCAAGTTATGCTCAACAGCCCCGCATCTGCAGCAGCCTTTGTAGAAACAGAAGGATGAAGGTCTTGGTGGTTCTCTGTGCTCTTTTTGCTCTCTCTGAAGGCTTTACCAGGTACGTTGCTGTTTTACTGCGTTTCCTTGCTCTGATGCTGCTGCTGCTAACCAGCTTGCTTTAAAAAAAAAGCAAAAAAAAAAAAAAAAAGCATGTTGATAAAATGATCTCATGGTCCCTTCTGGCTCCCAGGTCATTTAATTTAACCACAGAGGGATAGGAAATGTAAAAAGCTTAAACATGGGAAGGAGAAAAGATCTCTTTTCAGATGAGGTCTGGGAAGAGATGGGAAGTTATGAGAAGGACAAGGCCATTCCAAATGGAGAAGTCACTTGTGCTGGCCGTGGTGACACTATACCCATGCTTGATAAGCAGAGGAGTATTTCAGTCCTTTTAAAATGTTGATTCCATCAGCCAAATAAGGAAACCCATTGCGAATGTCATGGGAGTTGATGGCTTTAATGCAAACTGTTTCTCTCAGGCTCAGAGCACAAGAAAAGTCTGTTGTAGGGCATTAGTGATTGGGGATCTTGGTTGTTGGTTTTTCTTTTTGCACACAAGGGTTCATTTGCAGAGAGGGAAGAAGATGAGGCAACTCCTGAGGGAAAAAGGCTTGCTGGAAGACTTCCTGAAGCACCACCACTATGACATCAGCACCAAATATGCACATTCGTTTGCTTCCCAGGGCGTCTACGAGCCACTCATGAACTCTTTTGACGTGAGTTTATGCTCTGGAATAATTCATTCGCTGCATGGAGGAAAGTGCATTATCAGGGCTCTATCAACAAATAGGTGAACTAGGCACATGCCTAGGGCCCTAAGTAAAGAAGGGGCCCAGTTGTTCTTATTTTACATATTATTACTATTGAGTGAAAAAATTAATATAAATATATAGTACAGGGGCCCATGAGTTTGTTTGCCTAGGGCCCACTACAGGGTTAATTCGGCCTCGTGCATTATGTTTGCTTTATAGGTTTCACAGGGATCCCAAGGCTGATGTATTGGCTGGGTAGGTCTCTCTGTCAATATAGACCAAAGCCCCTACCACCACATTTTCCCACATACAAAATGCCCTAGAATAAAATATGTACCCTGATTTTGTAAGGCAGACTGAAGGGAAAAGAAGATCTTTCCTTGTAGTAAGTAATTGAATAGCAGCAGCGCGGGAGCCCGGCCTGCTCATCGTTCTGCTCCCTGTGCATGAGCGACTGGTGCCTCCTGAGTCTGGGGGGGGGCACCCACAGAAGTGGTCAGCGGCGGAGACAGGGCTGGTGAGCACCCGCAGAAGCCACTGGCAGCATCAGGGGCAGGTGACAGCCCTGTCAAGGGGTGCACGTAACCCCCTGTAGCCTCACTAGCAGTTGCCTATGTCCCTGTGAGTCCAGATTTTACTTTCATTTCTGCTGTTCAACATCTTCATTAATGATGTGGACACTGGAGTCAGAAGCGGACTGGCCAAGTTCGCCGATGACACCAAACTTTGGGGCAAAGCATCCACACCAGAAGACAGGCAGGTTATCCAGGCTGACCTGGACAGGCTCAGCAAGTGGGCAGACGAGAATCTGATGGTGTTCAACGCCTGCCTATGCAGGGGGTCAGACTCGATGATCTCAAGCAAATCCCGGGACGTCTCAAGCAAATCCCGGGACGTCTCTCAAGCAAATCCCGGGACGTCATTCTCCCCCTGTACTCGGCCTTAGTGAGGCCGCAGCTGGAGTACTGTGTCCAGTTTTGGGCTCCACAATTCAAAAAGGATGTGGAGAAGCTTGAGAGAGTCCAGAGAAGAGCCACGCGCATGATCAGAGGTCAGGGAAGCAGACCCTACGATGACAGGCTGAGAGCCCTGGGGCTCTTTAGCCTGAAAAAGCGCAGGCTCAGGGGTGATCTGACGGCCACCTACAAGTTTATCAGGGGTGACCACCAGCATCTGGGGGAACGTTTGCTCACCAGAGCGCCCCAAGGGATGACGAGGTCGAATGGTCACAAACTACTTCAAGATCGTTTCAGGCTGGACATAAGGAAGAACTTCTTTACTGTCCGAGCCCCCAAGGTCTGGAACAGCCTGCCACCGGAGGTGGTTCAAGCGCCTTCATTGAACACCTTCAAGATGAAACTGGATGCTTATCTTGCTGGGATCCTATGACTCCAGCTGACTTCCTGCCCTTTGGGCGGGGGGCTGGACTCGATGATCTTCCGAGGTCCCTTCCAGCCCTGATGTCTATGAAATCTATGAAATCTATGTATGTTTGTGTCTGGGAATAAGCTGTGGTTCACATGTTCTCCCTACTGCATTTACCTGTTCCTGTCCTGGTGGAATTGCCAACTGGATTGGACCCTGCAAGATGAGACCCTGCAAGTAGACTTGGCCTCAGGCACCAACCTCAAGCATCCATGGGTTAGATGTGCAAGTCCTGCCATGCTACAGCAATGGCAGTGCAGCTCTGTGCTCCTGGTGCTAAGGGCTTTTGTGCCCCCATCAAGAGCCCACTAAAGTCAGTAAAAAGGCTCCTGTTGGCTTCAATGTCCTTTGGGTCAGGACCATAGGGCTGCATTTAGGTACCAGCATGTTCTATCCATTGAAGTATCTAAATATATTTACAAAAATAAATGGACAAGATTTGTAGGCAGGTGACTATATTTCCAAATGAAGTAAAATACATGCTGGTGTTATTGAAAGATTCGCAAGTGGTCTGGAAGGGATCATTTAGCTTTGAAGCAAAACTTTTTAGACTTTTTATGGCAAAGACCAGTAGGGGTCATTGGCTGACTGTGATATTCCACCCTCCATCCAACCATGATGTTGCTCTTAGCACGGACTTGCTTTTACATGGCTGTTTTTCAGACTCATGTTGGAAACTGTGTTCAGAGCTTGCAACAGTGACGAACATTATCAGAAGAATGCTAATGGCTACAAAGATGTTTGCATATGGAGCAGCCGACTTGTCTGAACCCAGTGAGACAATTAAAACACAAGGAGAAAGGCCTTTTTCAATTTGATTTTTCCCATGTTTCAACTACAGTTCTTCTGCCTCGTAGTCTAAAAACTAGAGCTGAGGCCCATTGCAGTGTGCGGCAATGTGCTCAGCACAATGTTCAGCACAGCTGCCCCATCTGCCCTACTCAAAAGCCAGCTCTGGTATGGGGACTCAGTGGGGGCAACTACATGTGTGCTCTACTGCAGAGCTGACTAATTAACTCCGCACTAAAGCATCACCATCTACACATGCAGCGCTATTAGACTGGAGTAAGCAAATTAACTCCGTTGTAAGATAGTACTGCCCAACACAAGTACTATCCTGTGGCAGAGTTATTTGGTGTGTCACAATGCACATGTAGATGGTGACCTGTGCTGGATGGGACACGAGAGTGCTACAGTGTGGGGGCTGCCTGCCATCTAGCCCTACGCTGTAGTACCCTTGTGCCCCAGCCAGTCCCTCTGTAGCACATTGTGCCAGGGCAGAGCGGCTCCAGGCTGGCAGGCTAACTGGCAGGGGGCTGCACCACCCTGGTTCAATTTGCTGCGGGCCTGAATGCACATATAAACACTGCACCTGGGAGCAACCAACTGCAGCGTGAACTGTGCTGGAGTTTATTCAGCTGCACTAATTGCATTTGTAGCTGTACCCACTGAGAGGAAAGCCTTGATTCAGGATCCCAACCAATTATAGGTCTGCGCTAAGGCCCAAGCTGCTTTGCCATCTCAAATCTGAGACAGTCGCAGGGGTACAGCTTCAGTGCCTAGGAGCTTTAGGTCAGTAACAGCAGCACTCCCAGAATTCAGGCACATGTAAAATGAGGCAGCAGCTGAGAAGGGGCTTTCCCACTGATAAGTTTGGACTAGGTACCTAAAGCAAGATTTGCCCAGATGCTTAGGTCTTCTATTGGCTCTGGCCTTTGGTGCTTATTCCTGTGAACATTTCACATGCCTGAAGTGAAGTATTTTACATGTAGAAGACACACATATATGTATAATTAGCTGTGAGAATCACTGTTGTCTCTCTTACCTGAACAGACAGAGTACTATGGAACAATCTACATTGGGACCCCCCCTCAGGGGTTCAATGTTGCATTTGATACCGGTTCATCCAACCTCTGGGTTCCCTCCGTCACCTGCCAGAGTGAGGCCTGCCGTAAGTAACTGAATGCTTCCTCCCCCATCTACGCTACTGCTTTAATATGGTGTGATGGAACAGATTGCATGAGAGACCCTATATTTGCCACTCAGGACACCTGGCTTTAATGCCCATTTCATAGCTAACTCCCAGTGTGACTCTCTGTCACAGGTTCTCAATCTTATTAGGCTCAAGGAATCCCACAATAGGCTCAAGACGCTCCTCACAAAATACCAGCTCTTACTTTTCATTCATTTTTTTGACTACAGAAAAATACTACAGCAATTCTTCTGTTGCAAAGAAGTTAGATCTTAGAAAGGGTTATAACACTGTGTATTCCAACTGAAATCTCTGGGTTTACCTTCTGAATAAGGTTTGCACACCTAACAGTGCTAACAATGTGTGGCACCCCACGGCCTTGGATCTCAAGGTGCTCCAGGATGCCACGGAGAATCACTCACATCTTGTGCTGCAAAGAGGCTTATGCTTAATTCTGCCCACAGTGCTAGTTGTCTTCTTTGTTTTAATGGGACTATCCGTGCAAGTAAGGTTAAGCCCATGTGTAAGTGGAGTTGATGATACTGGGTGCGTCTACGTGTGCATTAATGCACTTTTCATAATGCGCATTAAATTTAGTACCTTCAATGTGACATACTAAATCAATGCGCACTAGGCTGCCCTAATATGCACTACCAAAAGTGCGTATTTTTAAAGTTATGCTTAATGCACAGTAGCTTATTTCACTGCACAGTAGCATAATTGCATGTTTTTTTAGCGAAACTCTTTAATGCGCAGTAAAATAGGCTACTGCGCATAAAGCACATATGTAGGCATGCCCGATGGTTAAGACCTAAGGAACCGCACAGCAGGAAAGGGGGTCTGAAAGAATCACTTCTCACTCGCCCTGAGACACTGCCCACAACTGTAGTCAGCTGAGTGTTGGAGCTGGGTAAACCTTGTTATGTGCTGAGCTTTATCTTCTTCTTTATAGTAGGGCATCTGTTGATGCTTGTTCTAAATATTCTTTTGCAGAAAATCACCGGATGTTTAATGCATCAAAATCCTCCACCTACCAGAGCGCAGGAACCACCATATCCATTCAGTATGGCATGGGCAGCATGGCCGGAGTTGTGGGATCTGATATAGTGCTAGTAAGTACTAATATGGCAAAAAGGATATAGCCCTCCCCATTATTTCAATGATTCACAAGTGGCATGGCACTGTGCCAGCTTGCATCCACTGCGGATCTCACTCTGGAGGAGACAATAAATGGTGAGTCTCTGAATAAAGCCACCTAAGCCTTGGCTGTTACACAAACAATGAAACAGGATTAGTTGTACCACTGGGCACCACTGCTCAGACCCTCAAAAGGACTTAGGTGCATAACTCCTGGCTAAGAGGTGGGAAACAGGCCCACTGCCCCAGGGACACATGCCATAGGGCATCCAATTTCCCAAGATGTCTCCTCCTCATGGGGCGGGGTGGGGTGTGGTATTCTGCCACTGTGCAATACGCTTTTAAGGATGCAGCTCAATAAACTTATACCTTGCTCACCAATAGGTTTACAACAACCAGCTTCCCTCTGCCCTGGCCATAGGCCCATGCAGAGTATACTTAGAGTACAAGTACTTTCACACCCCATGGGAGCACTGGTTTCTTTGGTTCCCTTCTTATATAGCTCTCCACAGAGGTGGTGCCAGAAGTGAGTGGACAAACAATCATAAAGGCCATCCCCCCAGTGCTAAACCAGCATCTTTGCAATAGGCAGCTGGGGGAGGGGACCATTCTAGAAGCACATTACCCACTCTGCCATCCCCCAGAGCCCTGCCAGTCTGTCTTTTCCTGGGGCAAATACCTCCAGTGAAGTCCCCAGCACATATTCACGCATTGAGAGCTGTGAGTACTTTGATGAGAGGATACATAACCACCTCTCTCAAGCCAGCTGCCCACAGTAGGCACTGTAACTGTGTCTGGTCCCCCTATGGCAGGGGAGATAGCTTGACTGCTCAGAGCTGCCCTAGAAGAGGAGTGAAAACCGGAGTAAATGACTCCATGAGTACTCAAGTTGTGTGTGTGTAAACTGTCTCTCCTGCTCTCAGGATGCATAAAGCACAGAGCAGCAAAAACATCTCTTCTAAGGACAGTCTTACCTGCTCAGCATTGCTTTTATATGACATTTCCTTCAAATACCCATCAACTCAGTGTCTTTCTGGCCAGATAAGGAGCTAAAGAACTGACCCTGCTCTTTCCCAGGTCTCCTCCTTCATTGACACCAACCAGCCATTAGCACTAAGTACCAGCGAGCCAGGACTTGTTTTTGCCTACGTTGAGTTTGATGGGATACTGGGCCTGGCCTATCCAGATATAGCTGTTGAAGGACTTATTCCTGTCTTTGATAACTTGATGCTCAAGAATTTGGTGAAGCAGCACCTGTTTTCAGTGTATCTGGGTCGGTAAGTGACTTGCTAAATGTGGAAGTTATGCCTTTCCATAGGAGTGTGGTGGAAAATCTGGGACCAAGATCCTTTGGTTGCTCTCTGCTGCTGTTAGCTCCATTTTGTAGATGCAAAGTCTCAGGCATGGCGAGGTGCAATGACTTGCCTTCAGCCACCCATCCCCAGGGGTAGAACCAGGAGTAGAGCCCTGCTGTCCCAACTTCCATGGTGGTGTGCGGTCCACAAGAACACATCACCTCCTCATTGAAACAAAGTCCTGTTCCCTGTCCGTAGGCTATTGCCAGTGACTCTTTAGCAAGCAGTGATTATGGTGCTAGCCTGGGTATCATCCTGGCCTGACTTGCTATGTGACCTGGGGCAAGACAATCTTCTTCTGTGTGCCTTTGGTTCTTGCTCTATAAAAAGGGGATACTGCTGTTGAAAGTGCTCTCAGGTCCCTAGTGAAAAGTATCCTAGGAGAGCTAAATTATTCACTAGTTGTTATGATGTGTAATTGGTCACCTAAATCACGCTCTGCTGCCCTTGATAAATGACTTAAAGTATTTTAAACAGAAGAATAGCAAATGGTGAAAAATGAGTGATGGTTTTGCTGGTGGCAATATACTTAAATTAATTATTTCTCTGAAATGATTGCATTAGAAACAAATGTACATGTTTTCTCTTGTTTTTGAAGGAAAGCAATTTTTATTATGAATAGTGCATTACTGAGACTGTACTTTGTTGGTAAAGGGACTGTCTTTTTTAGTTTCTGTTTTTGTACAGCACCTAACACTGGTATTTCAACTAATTATATGCATTCCTCATTTTTAGAGAGGTATTTGGTAGTATGCTCATTTTTGGTGGAATCGATGAATCTTACTTTACTGGCCCTATCCACTGGATCCCTGTCTCTTACCAGGGCTATTGGCAGATCTCAATGGACAGGTATGTAACACACAAAGGTGATTAAATAACTATGATGGATTTTGGTACACTTCCACAGTTGCAATTATAAACCCAACACCCATTTTTCCTTCATTAGTACCTAACTCACACTGATTTTAGAAGCCAGGATATCAATGGTGTCTAACCCCATTAGGCCCTAAGGTAAATCCTACTAGATGCTATGGGCATCCTTGGGTGCCTAAATACCTTTGTAAATTTGGCCCCAGGCCCCATCTGCCTGGAACTTAGAAAACCAATCTGTTCCCAACCTTCGCACTGACTGGCTGGGTGACCCTAATGATGTCACTTCACATCCCTATGGACTTTTACAATAATCACTATAAAGTTCTTCTGCTATCATCTCCATTCCAGATATGTGGTAGGACAGACAGGGCACACATAAGGTTGGACTGGGCTGTGGGCCATCAGTCCAAGGGGACATGCTAGAGCAGGATTTACCATAGACAGCACTGAGGTCAAGTTGGGTATCAGTCATTGGGAGCCATTGGTCTCAGGAGACCATGAGGATTACACCCTTGGTAGGTTACTGGGTACCACCACAGCTTCTTTAGTGGCTGAGAAGTCCGATGCATGACAGGCAGATCCTCCAGGAAGTTGCACATACAAACTCAGTTAAACTTGGTCTGGCATGCCGAGTACCAGTTTCTGATTCCTCTTCTCTAGCTCATCATTGACCCTAGCCATCTTGAAGCGATGTAGTCCCTGCTTCACGGAGGCTTTCCACACACAGTGGTCTGAAGCAATTGATTCCCAAACTGGGTATCAGCAACAAGACAGAGTTGTAATGAGATCAGGGCCAAGGAAGGTCCTTGGTTGTACCAGCAAGTCCAAGCCAAGGACAGGACCACTCAGGAACAGACAGGACAGGAACGCCAGTCCAAGATGGGATCAGGCAGGCATAGCAGTAGAAACAGACAGGACCTAGAGAAGGATCGAGGCAAGAGTGAGGCACAGGTTCAGGCAGTGCAAGGTACTGGTAGGGGTTCACACAAATCAAGATTCAGGATGTAGGCGAAAGCAAGCAGTCGGGCAGGTCAGCGAGGTTCCAAGCAGCCCAGGAGACACACAAAGCAGTCTAGGTGCTCAGACAGCCGTCTGCTGGGAGGTTTGAGCTTACAGGCCAGTGTGGGTGGGACCTCTTCCTGTGGACCCTGGGGATTACTCAGTCAGGGCCCTGATCACCTCCAGCTGGAGCTAGGAACTGGATCAGCCCCAGCTGAGCATGGACCCGTTCCAGATCCTCAACTTGTATGAATTGTCATAGTTCATTTATGCCAAAGGAGCTGGACTGGGATCTGGGCCAGTTTTCTTGGAGCTGGTGCTAACCTTAGCGGGTGTGGGAAGCCGCCTCTTGACTTCAGTTGGTTTTGGGTTGCATCCTTCATGTTATGGCAGTTGACTGTATGGAGGCCAGGCTCCTGGAGTCCTTGTTCTGGCAGACATCAGGATGAAGGCAATGAGAGCTGGCTTGTGTAAGGACAGCGCGTTTACTGAGTCGGCCACTTGAGGCCTGAGCCTGAGGAAGTAATGCTGTTTGTTCTGTTGTTAAGGTCTAACATTTTACAGCCTCCTGTACATTTTTGCTATTTCATGTTCAAGCACCTTATTTATGTTTTCAATCACTCAGCATCATTGTGAATGGCAAGGTGATCACCTGTGAATCTGGCTGCCAAGCTATTGTTGATACCGGCACTTCTCTCTTGGCTGGGCCTGCAGCAGAAGTCATCAACCTACAGAAAGTCATTGGAGCTACTCTCATACAGTATGGCGAGGTGAGAGTCCTTGTGGGAGCCTGTTGTCACACTGCACCCTGCACTGAAAAGGGTTTGAGTCCCTGGAGCATTCCCAGCAGAGCCTGCAGGCTCAGCCTCACTCCACTTCCTGAGCTTTGGCTTTACTAGTAATTCAGAAAAAGCAACAATGCAAAAGCCGCAGGGTCCTGGTTGGTCCTAGGGTTTCCTGTGGGACCTTCTCTATTCTAGTTCCCTACTTCCTATTGGTCCAAATAACTACTTTATCTCAGATGGGTCCTTGGCAGCAAAATGATTTGTATGTCTTACTACAGCTCCAGCAGCATGAGTTTGAGCCCCGATCTGGACTTGCACTGAAAGCTGCCCCCAGCTGACTCAACTGTACATAGGGCTTGGTCAGTGTGGGAAGGCAAAGGCCACGTAACTCCCAAGTGTACAGTTGGCTATCAAAACTGGCATGCACTAGCCCAACATGGCCATTAGGGTTGTTAACACCTTTGATTTATTCTGGATTAACTCATATGTGGGGATAAACCATAAGGCTTTAGTTATGGGGGGGAAAAAAAATTATAGGTTTATAGGTATAAAGGTCTTAGGAGTTACATTAAAAACTTTATAGGTATGAAGGTCTTAGGAGTTACATTAACATAATTAGGGGAGAAAATTTATCCTAAACTAGCTTTGGGCACTATCCTGGCTGACTCTAGGACTTGACATTTGTGAGAGGGGGAGGACAGAGGGCTGGAAGCTCTAGATTTATTTTATTATAACTGTTACATGAACAGTTAATTATTTCTTTTTGGGATGATCAGTCCTTTCTCTTGGGCTGGATCAGAGTCAGGATGATGCGCTCATGATGGTCTGGTTTGGTTATCCATGGAATTAACAAACAGAAAGTGGGTAATTATTAAGGCTTTTATACATATGAATCAATAATCATTTCAGATGTGGTTGATCTCTAGAGAAAACCAATGATGTCTTCAACCAAATGCCTGCCTAATTTAAAGCCAAAACAACCTAAATCCAAACTCTACCTAGTTCCATCTATTTCTGAGCAGTGACAATGGGACCAAATTTAATCCTGCTGCTCATTGGGCATGTCTACACATCACTGTGCTTTAGTGCTTCCTTTTGGAAGCACTAAAGCACAACGCAGTAACTTCCTGTACAGCACCATGCATGAAGCACATGTTTAGATTTTGCCACTACTTTGCCGTAGTGATGGACTAAAACCGTGGAGCCTGCCACCATCGCAAAGTTGCTGCTGATCATGTGATCCATATGTTACCATAGTATGCCGTATGGTGACGTAGCACATCACTATGGCAACGTAGGGCGATGTGTAGATGCACCCATTAGCTTTCTATAATTTACTTTTCTCAAAGCATTCAGGCACGACTTCTTGCTACAAATACAGGATTCCAGAGTGGTCTCCCATCCAAGTGCTATCCAGACCCCAAACCACTCAGCGTCTGAGACTGTCCCTTTACTCTTTTTTGCTTTGCGAAATGGCCATGTTGTTTCTTTCATAACTGGATTCTCTCTCATTTTTTTTGTCTTCTGTAGTTTAAGGTCAACTGCAATGACATTCCCAGCTTGCCTGATATCATCTTTGTAATCAATGGGATCCAATTCCCTCTGCCTCCTTCAGCCTACACTGAGCAGGTATGATATGGAGTCTTTCTTCATGGGACACAATAGCACGGTGGGGCACAGCTAAATGACTGGGTTCAGTCTCAGCTCAGCTGCCCCCTCCCATTGCACAGCTGCTCAGGGGGAAGGGCTTGGGGAACAGAGCAAAGGCTTGTGGGAAAGCTTTGGGGATAAGGAGCTGGGGATTCAAAGCCTATTGAAATCAGTAGAAAGACTGACATCAGGAGGCTTTGTATCAGGTTTGCTAGGAGAGGTCTGAAGTACTGCCTGAGGAGTGTATTAGCAGTATCCTATGTAAGACAGGAAGCGGGGTTATTCTTCTCAGCTCAGAGGTGATGAGGCATCAGTAGGAGTGTTCTCCAGGGTGGAAGGACAAGAAAGAACTGGCCTAATTTGAAGAAAAGAAGATTTGAGTTGGATAGCTGGAAACATCCTCTAACTCAAGAAGTGTGCTAGAACAGGCTACCTAGAGATGCTGCGAGAGCTCCTTTATTTAAGGTTTTAAGAATGGGTTAGATAAGCATCCATTGAAGCTAGCCTTCATCTAGTTTTACCCTGCCTTGGGGCAGATGGTTGACTTGATGATCTCTTGATGTTCTGCTCTACTATATTTCTAAGGCTCTAAATCCCTGCTGGTGCTCCAGCCACAATGGCTCTGCCAGCTCACTAGCTGGCTGCCCCCCCAGCCACAATGGCTCTGCCAGTCCATCACTAGATCAGGGGTTGGCAGCCTACGGCCTGTGGGCTACGATCGGCCTGTGGAGCTACAGTAACCTGCCTGTGGAGCTGGGGGGCTTTGATGGGAGTCTGATGGCGGAGGGGCTTTGCCCATGCCATGGCCAGGCAGGGGGAGCTTCTGCTGGGCCACAGCAAGGGGAAGCAACTGGTATCAGCAGCCAGGTCCTAGCACCAGCCGGTGTCAGACCCAAGCTGGGTCATTCCAGCCAGCTGCTAACGAATATTGCCAATTGCTGCTCTAGTTGGAGCCAGTGACAGGATTTTGCCCTGTAAAACTTGACTAAATAAAGCTGTTGGGAATTTCAGTGACAGAACCAACTCCTCTATGTAACAGAGAACAGGGTGTGCTCTGTTACTCAAAGGGGCTTGAGCAAACAGCAGAACAGCTTGCAGGTGGCTGCACTCCCAGTCAGGCACAATTACCTGATTGGGGACATGTCCCAGCTGTTTATTATAAAAACAGGGCTCTGAGCAGTGTAGCCTGCAGTTTGCTGCCAGCAGCCGGCAGAGAGATTATCATCTGGCTGGAGCTGCTGCTCATAACATCTTGTAGGTATAGGGCAGGAACTATGGGGATGACTGGAAGTTCCTGGTCCTGGGGCATGACTTAAAACTACACCCTGCTGCAGCTGGATGGTGTGGTGGGACTGCCAGTGGTGGGGCAGTCTCCAGGAAATGCCACACCTGTGCCTCCCCAGTGAAGGGCGAGTATGGGGCACCAAAAAGCCTCAGCCCCTGCTGCTTGTGGGTTACCCCATGGAGGAGAAAGGTTAGGGGAGCACACCCCAAAGACAAAGCAAGAGCTTAACCTTACAGTGAGGCCTGTGACAGGGCCCAAGTCATGTGAAGGGACCTGAGGCAATGCCCAGGCTGACAGCAAGTCCTGAGGTGTATGAAAGAGCCAGGTGTGAGGCTCCAGCCAAGTGGGGCCCTGAGCCTATGAGGGAGCTGGGTATGAGGCTCCTTGGGCAAGGGGACTGAGTACCAGTGTCAGGCAAGGGGACGGAGGTTCAAGCAGATTGAGGCCCAGTGTCAGTTAGAGGATGAAGCTCCAGTGTGGGGGCATGAGGGGACCAAGAAGGTCCCGAGCTCAGCAGGGAGATCAAGGAAAAGAGGACTGGGAGCCCCGAGTGAGTGAGATTGAGAGCCTAGTATGAGGGCACAGGGATTGAGACCCTAGTGTGAGGGCATGGGAGTGAGAGTCCCAACACAAGGAACTGGAGTGTAGGTCCTAGTACGAGGCTGGGTGTTAGGCCATGTATGCCATCTCCGAAGCATGAGACATGGTATAAGGGAAGGTTCGGAGCCGTGTATAGGCCCTTGGCATCAGGGCAAGTAAATGGGCAACCTTCCTCCTTGTTATCAACTTTCTACTGATTTCATCAAGGGCACAGCAGGCGAGACAGGCGGGTGGTTTGCCTTAAAACAAGTAGGTGGGCCAACATTCAGACTGGCCCCGGGATGCCCATTTGTTACACTCTGGAAACAAATAAGACTTACTAACCAATTATTTTAATGTTTGGTTCTTTTGGTCCAAATCTAGGTTGGCCAAGGAGAGTGCCAAAGTAATTTTCAGGCCACGGCTAGCTACCTGTGGATCTTGGGAGATGTATTCATCAGGGAGTATTACAGCATCTTTGACAGGGAAAACAACCGGGTTGGTTTGGCCAAGTCTGTTTAGACATCAGCCAGCAGCTGGTGCTACGATCCATCCTGCAATCAATTTACATGTGATATCTCTGTAAACGATCGCTCTGGTATACAGTTGATAAAATTCTTATCAAGAAATAAAAACAGGAATAATTCAGAATTTTTGACCACACATTTATTTGTATACAATAAAAGCTCCAAAACACTTCCCAGTTCAAACTGCTAGACATACCCACCACCCCATAACACAGCCACATCATATTCCCCTTACGTTTCCTACTGTACTTCCAACCGTACATGCAAACCTTGCTCTGACTGCTTCTCCCTCACTGTTACCCCACTTTTGATTCCTTGATCAAAAGTGGTTTCTCAAATAAAGCAGTAGAAAGTACCTTTTTTTCTACTCTGAGACTTTCAGGAATTATTTATCAAACCTAGGACATTTCACATGGTGTATCTGTCTATTATCCATCATCTGTTATAGTGCCTGGATCCTAGATCTTATAATGAGGCAATTTGCACAGAAATGAGAATTAGAAAAGTTTCTGTAAAGCAAAGAACAAAAGATCATCCCTGCCCTCACCCCCAAACCCCCAGATCTCACATATCACTCCAAATGTCAAGACAGAAAATCTGATTCTGGATTGAGATTTGTGCACAAAAGATCATTCCTGCACCCCATGCCCCACCCCGATCTCACATATCACCCCATTTCTGGATTGAAATTTGTGCCTTGAGGAAAATCTCCAAGGAATACCATAGGACTAATTTCAAGAGAAGTCTCAAAATTAGGCCAAGAAGAACCTGGTTGAATTCAGCTATAAGGCATCCATGCATGTTCTCATCAAGCTAAACCCAAACTAAATTGCTTCTGCACAGGGGAAAGGTTGGGTAATCAGGACTTCATAGCTCCCGTCTCATGAAGTGGCATAGTTTTGCCTGATGGCTCTACATCCACCATCTCAAGGCATTATCACTCAAAGGTTGGAGAACAGAGACATTATTTGGTGATGCAGGAGCTTTAGGGAATCAGACACACACAGTCTGCCATCCTACTTCCACTGCGTCAGACCAGTGGAGGCAAACAGGCATGGAGATTACTCCCATCGCATTTTCTGTGGCTCCGATGGGTCAGTGTTTTGCCAAAAATACTAAAATAGAAAGAAAAAGATATGAAGCTTGAAACAGGCTGTGGGAATAGGTATCTCAAATGCTGACATCAGCTTTTACACAGAAGCATCACAAAACAGACATCAGAGCAAGCACCTGGCTTTTCTAGTCGCCCGTGCCACTGAACAGCTACGTGTAGCATTCAGAATGCAAGAGAACATCCATTGAGACCATTGATGAAGGACATTTTCAATAGCCCTCAAAATCTTGATGGATTTTTGTTGTTTTTATAGAAAGTTGTCATGGACATGCACAAACACCTTTTGCATACAATGTGTTCCTTTTTCTTATTTATTTGTTAAACCATCCATTTGAGTGGCCAAACGGCATCTCCTCCCTGTACCACAATGCTCTCGAGGCTGTGGTCAAAGAACACAGACTGTGCAGGTTGGTAAGGGGGCAACAGGACAAGTCAGTTAAATCCCCAGCATCGAGGGAGGAGAGTGGTTGCAGTGGTTTAAGAGACCTCAGTTCAGTTCCTGGATCTGCTAGATATACCTTGTGGACTGTGAGCAAGTCGTGTGATCTTTCTGCATCTCAGACCCCTGGAAGATGTTCATTTATTGGCATGATGGGATCTGATCCTAGACCCCAACAATTGCCCATCCTTGCCATGCCATGCAACACATGTATGACAGAACATGTGATTCTGGGATCAGGGCTCACATCACAATCATACCCTTTCTATTTGCCAGAATAGGTTAGAGTCTGGAATCACCTGAACTAGGAAGTTCAAAGTCAGGCATTTGCAGCTCTGCTTGTAGGGCTGTGGTTGCCTGGCTCTGCAAGTGCCACAGAGGGGCAAGTCCCCATGCTCAGCTTTGAAATTGCTGTCTGTGGGGGGAGATGACCAACTCTCCTCTCCACCCCCAGTTGCAGGCCCTTGGGCAGCACCAGTTGGATACTCTGAGCTGATTATTATTAGCATGAAGACAGGGCAGCCTGGTGCATTCCCAACTGGCTCCCCTCCCAGTGCTGAAAGTTGTCTGACTAGTCAATTGTGAGCATGGGGAGTGATGGGATGGTGTGCAGCAGCCTTGGGTGCCACACATTCAATACAAGGTACAATGCAAATCGGCCCCAAAGAGGTCTTTATTGTATGTGAACCATCTTTGTGGCTTGTTTCTCATTTTATTGCACAGTTACTTGAGTGAATGTGTGGCAGGGTTACTTTTTATAGTGTGCAGGGCAGAAAACAGTGTTACCACTTGGCCTCAAATACTCAGAAAACATAAAAAAGACAACTCCAATATGTTCACAGATTCATGTTGCTGAAATCACAGAGCCAAGCGTTGGACACTCCTGTCTAAAAGATGCAAAGCCCCAGTGCTAGTGCTCTGCATGGGGATGAAGCACTCTTGGACTAAGCTATGCAGCTTCTCCAGCACTCCCATGGGGGCTGGTCTCAAGCATACCCAGCCTACCTGCTCCTGCTCTGCTTGGCCAGACCCAGAAAGGAGTCAGGCAAGCTGTACTGCTCTGGAGATCTTTGTCTCTGGTGTGCTTGAGAGCAGTGGCGGGGGTCGCCCTCAGCACAGGTTCCCGACCCCCATCCCAGGTCTGGCACGCAAGGAGCTGGAACAGGTGGATGTGAGTGCTTGACACCAGCATGCCTGGGAGTGCCATGGAAGCCGTATGGTTTGCTCCTGGGAAACTTTAAATGAAAGATGCTGCAGAAAGGCAGAGCATCTACCCAGCTCATGTGGGTCAGGTTGAGTTTAGACAAATAGACCTGGATAATCTGCCCCTGCAGACACTACCAGATTGGAGCAGGGAATCCCAGAGGAACTCACTTTTTGAATTTGAGGGTGGGTGTTCCCCCTCTACTTTCTGCCCATTACTTACCTTAAGCTCCATGTCTCAGGGAAAAGAAGAGGGGTGGAAATGGGGAGTCAGGGAGTATCTGAGTGAAGGAAGGCAAATGTCTTCAAGCTGAAAATGGTATAATTTTATTTATTTAAAATGTAAAAGTAAAAGCTGCATTTCAAAGGAAAAAGGAAAAATCCATGTCAGTGTGAATGTTTTGACTATAGAAAAAGAAGATCAGATACCTGTACCAAAATAATATGATTTTGTTAAAACATCTTAAAAAAAAACATGTTGGAAAGGCTGCAACCAGCAACCAGCTCTGATTGTAAGTAATTCTTTGGCTAAAGCCCCTAGAACAGCACAGGGTTAGAGGGCAGAGTCCGGTTTACATGGACCACCTTAATAGTGGCATTTTTAGAGTTCAGAGTGTTTCCTTTTGCCAACTCTGGCCCCCACAGGTGTCCTGGGCCTGTTTAGTAGCCCTCTGTCATGGTGGAGGATAGCGGTGCTGTCCTTAGAGCTGCTCAGAAATTTTCTGGATAGGAAAACCTCATTTCATTAAGCCCAAAGTGTTTCCTTTGAAATATCTCAGGTGCAATGAACTTTTGCCAAATCTAAGATAGGATCCTAGTGATGTCTCTGGCACCATAGTAGTCCATTGGAGGAGTCTACTATAGAGCTAAACATTCTGGAGGTGACCCTGGATCTGGGAGGTCTGCCAAGTAGATTTGTCCTTGACCTGGACAGCCAGGAAACAGAGATCTCCAGGCTCCTGGTGGGGCCGGGGGTGGGTCTACCAGTGAGACTGTCCTGGAGCTAGCAATACTCCATTCTGGAGTCCCCTGCCCTGGAGCACTTCTCCTGATGGTTCTGCTTTAGACCTGGAGATACTGAAAGCAGACGGACCCCAACCCTGGCCAGTTGGGGACCATGGAGAGCTCCAGGTGTGCCTCCTTTCACCTCACAGGATGCATCTACATGCGTGACACTTTACTGCACAGTCTAGCTAATTACTGCTAGTAAGCATCTGCATCTACACATGAGGATGCTAGCTATGCAGTAATTGGCTCTAATCATAAGTAAATATGCTATGTGCAAATGCAGATTTACTCATGATTAGTAACTGCACAGTAGTGCGTGTGTAGGTCCCTGACCAGGGGGTGGGTGATTGCTCTTTACCCCCCGGACCTGCCTGCTGCTGGGACAGGTTCCACCACCAGAGCCCAGCTGACTTACAGAAGTGGGGGAGAGCCCACTCTACAGCTCACTTAGCCTTCTCTTTTCTGCACAGTAAAATGCTGTATATTGGGTGTCTGTTGCTTTTATCCCAAGGTAAGCTGAATTAGTACACATGCGTGTCTACACCCTCTGTGCCATGGCTCATCAAATGCTAACAGCAGATGGAGATTTGCCTCTCAAGATACAGTTTTTGCAGCTTAACAATGTAGGAGTTTCAGCCCTTTGATTACTGTGAAGTCACAAGTGATATATATAGTATATACAATATAGTACCAAATATGAGACACTGCTTGACCACTGAGTCTTCACATATACCACAGCCACCCTGGTTTGGGAAAACAGCCTCACAATCCCCTCCTCTCATATTGTTCACATACCTGCAGCTCAAACCTCTCTAGCTTCTATCCTACCTTGCAGCCCTCTGTGCTGCAAAATGGAAATAGATTGACATCTGCACCTCCTCCTGACTTTGGAAATGCCCAGGCACCCACCTACATGGCACAGTCTGCAGGAGTCAATTTATTAATCACTGCTCGACCTTTGCTAGCTACATTGAAGTCACCGTCCATGTCTACACGTGCAGTTAAAACCTGGCAATAAACTTTGGCACATATTGGGATGTTGGAACATGCGCCCAGGACTGCAGCATGTTGACCCAGGTTGGAGCAGTCCCATCTGGCAGAGGTCCCCAATAGGGTCAGCCTGACAGCCCAAGGCTGGTGCACGAGGGTGCTTGAGTATAGTACTCTGCTGTAGATACAAGTAATATCCTATAGTGGAGTTTATTAGTTTACTGAGGCCTAATAGGGCCAC